GGTTCTATCTGTGATGTAGCCATGGCCCAATTAAGCTAAGTTTAAACAGCACAAAGGTTGTATGTACCACTGATTTACCAGGAAAACCCGGATTTCGATTTGTGTCATTTCGATCGGAAAGTTCCGGAAAACTCGGTCTTCCAATTAAGGTAATCCACTTTTCCCGCTCTTTTTGGTTCTTCCGGTAGACGCGTGTACCCATTTTTCGAAAGTCAAAGTTTCCCGCTCTTTTCTTAGCTCTAGCAAACGCATTTCCAACCGGATGGATTTTTTTAAAGGTTAAGCACCCCAGGGTTCTATCTCGTGTGAGTTAGCAATGCCCGGCTGACTTCGATCAGCCCAGAGGTCGGTTTCACGGTTTGTTTTATTTGTGACTGTAAATTCCCTCTTCACTTGTAGTCTAGAATAGTCTCTTCCTTATCAGTCATGTTACTTTGTCAGTCAGGTTACTACATACTGTTTAAAGCAGTTTTCTTACGTCTTGTTTATTGTGTTTCCATTCCTGGTTCCCTCGCAGTCCATGACACGTGATCATCTGTACAAAACTGCCAGGTTCACCGTCAGGTGCATCAAGACACTTGTCATCACCGAACACTATTTCGTTACTCTTCGTCAATGTGAAAAACTACCGAAAAAAGTCAGTCAATCAATATTCATATTTTATACAGCCGTGGGGAGAGAAAATTGGAGAACCTGGAGAATTAAACACAACTGGTCAAATACTCTCAACTTCTCACAAATACAGTTCAGTCGAGAATCAAACGCGCACCCTCAGGCCGGCATGAGCTACATTCAGGGGTGAAAGAGCGATGTGACAGCCCATGCCACACATGCCACTCTAATCATTATGTAACCTATGTATAAGATATAATGTTGACTCTGATTGGTCAAAAGACTTGAACAGGCGTCACTGGCCTTTCAAATCTTTTGTAACAAATGACTTAGGCTCAGGTCAAACGTCGAACTTCACACGAGCCGAACCTAATTCAAATAATGGATAACGAGGCGGTGTTCTTTAATGTCATTAGGTTCGACTCACGTAAAGTTCGACGTTCGACGCCTTTCTATCTTATTATTTCATTAACTTACTTGGTTGCCTCCCATTCCATGACAAGAATACAAACCAACTTTCTCTATTTTGTTCTTATCTCCGAGAGTGTCTATACAAATGTTGTTGTAGAGATTTCGAATCTGCAGATAAACAAGTTGCAAGTTTTAACTACATATTGTCAGAAGTCCATTGTTAACTCACTTCAATCATTCCCAAGGGAATGAAATAACAAAAGACACGTTGGCCATATGTTGGTTGATATAACAAGATAATTCATTGACAAGTCTCAGGTTTGTTAAATTAATTCAACTAAAATGGCGGCTATAACGTCAATGAGTGCAAGTAACGAATACTTACTTCTCCTTGTGCTGGTGGATTGGGGTCCACGCTCGTCATATCAGGAAACACATTTTCCAAATACCACTTGAAACTTTTACAGTTCAATCTCTTCCTGAGCGCAACCCTGTCACTGATGTCACCAATGTCAACCGCCTTCTCTTCCTCAGTTTTCTTCCTATAGTAAAGCTCTTTGTACTCGTCCATCCAAACTTCAGCCAGACGGTTGAAATTCTTGGCTAATGTCAGGGACGTCCCTTTTGGGAACTTATATGGGGAGGTGAATTTACGAAACACGTGACCAACACGTGAGCAGGGAATGATTTCTAATTGCCCACCACACATCCATATCTATCGAGAGTAAAGCAGATAATGAAGATAAGCAAAAAAGGCTGTCTAGCGAATTTTCTCATATTCTATTAGAACCTTCGCAGGAATTATTAGTGGAGTAAAAAAACACAATAGAATAATCATTGTTTTCTCCCCAAAATGAACCTCTTTAGATTAATGTTTTCCAATTCGTCAGAGCATGCAGTTCCATTTTTGGGTTGCCTGTGGCAGCCCAGTCTAAAAATGCGTTGCGTGTCTTCGTATTTTCCTGCGTCAGAAAAATGCCAAAATTGCGCAATAGTACCCAGTGGTCTTCACTGCACTACCCAAGAGTCCTTTGCGGACATTTGATACAGAGATCCAGATGATACAGATGATACAGATGTAAAGTCTCATTTATATTCAAGTGACAGTTGCCAATCAATGTCTACAGCAAAGCACGTGTCGGAAATTAATGTCTACGTATATTCTTTTTTCGTTAATTGCTGAAATCCAAGGCCCAATGCTGGATTACGAATTACCGGGTGTATAAACTGGTTCAAGATGCCGTGAGAAGATATTTCTTTTATTTGTCTACTCATTTAATTTCACGGATTTGGGCAGATAGGAATAGGTTACTCAAAAATAGAAAAGTTTCACTATTCTATATTCTATTATTTTTACTAAAAAAAACAAAAAAACAAAAAAAACAAAAAAACAAAAAAACAAAAAACGGGGGAAAAGGAGTAAAAGCGTGAGTAGGTATAATGTTTAGGTCACCCATCCAAGTGCTAACCCTCCTCAGACGAGCTTGACTCAGTATCTTGAACGGAAACGATTTATCCACTGGACCACGGTTCCAGGTGAATCAGCATAACAATAGCCATGGACACAATGCACCGAATAGACTAGACTTTTTAACATTTTGTTATCAACCGATTCCGTGCGTGGCAGAGATGCAAGGGATTAGCCGATGTGGTCTGGGGGCCGGCTGGTCTCTCCCCTGATGCTTTGGCTAGAACATTTTCTTGCGTAATTCGTACACCCAAGGGCAGAAGGATTTAATCGCCGTCAGGTCCGAAGTCCATACGCCGCCTCAGCTCTGCGGATGTCTCGGGGGTATGGCAAAGTGGAATCGCTTTTTTAAAAATTTCTTTTGGTGGGTTCGAATCCCATCTTATCCACATAAGATTTTTCTTCTTTAATCAATTTTTTATTAGATTTCAATCTTCAACAGTAAGCAATAAGCAATGTCGATCCGCGAAAAGTAGAGCTATGCTTTCCTGTCTTTCTTAGTAAAGGTTGCTGACAAGAACATTTACTATATTTGGATCTCTATACCATATTATACAGAGAACACCTAAAGGAAGAAGATCGGCTTTAAAAATTATTACACGAGCTAAACGAAATCACTCTTTTTTGTGAAACATTCCATTATCTTTTGGCTAACAATGTAAACATTCTTCAACTGTACTAGGCCTCTCTGTGCATGATACAGGCAACCCAGTGAACGCCTATGGGAGTATTGACCATTTCTTTTTTTGACGGTTGCACAAGAAAAACACATAAATTTGGATTCAACTCAAGGAAAGGATCTTATTTCTAAGAGGATGACACGTGGTCTAAAATGGAAAAAACATTACGTCCAATTGAAACAGATCTATTATGCTAATACTTGCAAGGGGCCCATAATCATTAAGGTCTGTTACATAGCTCGTATGTACGTACCCTAAATGAGAGCTCCAAGTTCTCTCCACCCCATATCTCCATCTCATCATCGTACGTGCCAAGATCATAGAAATACTGACGATGCATAGAGAAGAGACCCCCGGCCATGGTGGGTGACCTAAGAGATAAAAAGATACATTACTCGAGGATTAAATATTGATTTTAGTGGCGGCCTCCTAATAAGGCAATGGACCTTATCCACTTGCGCTTAATGTTTTCTTTTTTTACCTTGGGAAATCAAGTTGTTCGTTTGATTTTTATCCATATTCAAGAATTACTGGTAAAAAAAGAAATAGTAATTAAGGGGATGACACGTGATCCGAAGAGAGAAACATTGGATTAATTGGGTATACAGTCAACTCTCGTTACAGCGGACACTTTTGGGACCGTCACTTGGTGTCCGTAATAGCGAGCGTCCGCAATAGGGAGAATTAATTACGGTCATTTCTTTGTCATTATTTTTGCCGGGGATTTTGCTCCTGTCTGTAATAGCGAGGTGTCCGTAATATCAGGGTGTGCGCAAGGCGAGAGTTGACTGTATTTGTACAAACATCAGAAGAACGACAAGTAGAAAGTATGATGTGGGTGCGGGAATCAGCAAAACGTATGTGCTATAATATATAGAGTTGTGAAAGTTGCTGCAAAAGGGGTTGTGTTGCGTTCTGTATATAGAAATTCTGACCGCGACTTTCCTTGATGTACCAGTTTTTACCCCGGATGCTAAGCTAGCTTTATATACACATCGCTTTTTTCAATGGAAATGATTCTTTATCAGTATACTTTACCTGATGGAATCTGTTTCATCTTTTCTTCTCAGTCTTTCCACTTCAGGAATCGCTTTCCAAGTAAAAAACAAGTCCCAGGTAAAACCACCTCGCTCAAAAATTACGTCTGAGGTCTGGTAACTAAAGTCGTCCGCGCCAATCACCTCAATCACAGGGCACACGACGTTTCGCTTGTCTTCCGCGATTCGCGCCAAAAGTGGTTCAAGCCAACCAGGTGTCGCTTCGCAGTGAGAGTCTAGAAATGTTAATACCTCGCCTTTGGCTTCTTCGGCTCCTCTTAACCGCGCGGGTACCAAGCCTTGCCGGCTGGGCATGCGCAGTACTTTGACTTTTTTCAGTCGTGAAATATGCTGCATTAAGGGTTCTTTTAGGTTATCTGTGAAATGATAAACATGATAAAAACATTTAAAATGTAGCCGATGAGTTTCATTCGGCGTAAAAGGAGTGATTTTACTTTTGGATGGATGGACGAATGGTCGGATGGATGAGTGGATGAATAGATGGATAAGATGTTTGACTGGGCTGACGGCTGGATGGGTTAATTAGTTGGTTGGGTACATGGGTTGGGTACATGGGTTGGGTACATGGGTTGGGTACATGGGTTGGGTACATGGGTTGGGTACATGGGTTGGGTACATGGGTT